TTTTCTCCTCAAGTCCTTTAAGTATTAGCTGGCCTAATTCAGTTTCATACTAATACTTAAAAAAGCCCCAAAGGAAAAAAAGTTTCAAGAGACTGAAGAATATATCGTGACTTTCACTGTATGATATACATCTGCCTGATAAAATATAGTTCAAGTTCCTTTAGAGAATTCTTCCATGCTTGCTTGCTGCTGAGTAAGGGTTGGAGCTCTCAAGCAATATCCTTTGATATTTCTGTCCAAACTGTTAATTATACAGATAAGAGACATCATCAAAGTCAGACAACTGCAGACCACAAGGCATTACTGCAAGGAAATTAGCAAGGCTTTTTTTTAAACTGATGAAGACTGAAATACACATTTCTATATAAAATCTAGAAAACAGGGAACTAAAGCCRATAAAACTCAATTTATTTTTGCAATTTTACAGTTGAGACAATTTTATGCTACCAGAGTACTTTAAAAAAATTATACAAGCCTATTACAAAAAAATCAAGGAGTGCATTCCATAATCAATGTTCTGTATCGCTAGTGATATCAGAGGAGTTTCATAGAATCACAGAAACATAAAATCACAGAATCATAAAATCATAAAATCATAGAATGGTTTGGACTGAAAGCAACCTTAAGGGTCATCTAGTTCCAATCCCCTTGCCATGAGCAGGGACACTTTGCACTAGATCAGCTTGATCAAACCCCTTGAACAGGCCTCTCTGGGCAACCTGTGCCAGTGCCTCACCACATCCACAGTAAAAAATTTATTCTAATACCATAAAATCATAGAATCATRGAATGGCTTGCATAAAAARGAACCTCAGATCATCTAATCTTGACCTACCCTCTTTAAAAAACCAACCAATCAAAAAAYCTAAAAACAGAAAACTACAAAATTCTATCTTCCCTTAGGAGCAGACACTCAACACTTGGTGAGAGAATGCGGCCCAAATCACCATATACTTTTTCCGGTGATTAGGCATCGGAAGAGGGTAGAGTTAATGGCACACATCCATTTGGACTGGCCCTTAAAGAGCCAAAAGCTATTGGCAGTTCCCCAGMATGATAAAGTACAGTTTTTTCTTTRTATTTTGGTGGTGCACAAGCAAATCACAGTTTGAAAATTCCAATTTTTTTTTGGATTCATAATGAAAACCACAAGAGCATGGAATTTTATCTCAAGTTGTCTGATGTTATGGTTTCAAATCCACATCAGAAGATACTGATTCCACKGCTTTCAGTTGTTTACATACTGAAATTATTTGACACTGTGCTGTCTATTCTGTTCTGTCTTTCCTTTAAACTCTGGAGTTTGAAGTTTAAAACATGTATGGTGATGCTTAGTCTGAAGATATAGACTAGGCTAAGCACATGTTTGTTAATAACAGGTAAGAAAAAGTATGTTATGTTTCAGTTAGATATTACACAGTAAATAATATTATTTAGCCCTTTTTATGTCCCACTTTTCATCTCCAAGTATACACAAACAACTAAATATAGSAAAAACCAAATATCACACTTCTTGTAATTGGGCAGTATTACCTGCATACTGCAAACTGGGAAACTGAGTCAAAATAGAACAATAGAAGCATCTGGAAGACCTCTGTGTGTTATTGTGATGAACTTCATAGTGCTTAACTTAATAGCATTAACAAATGTTCCAAGTGAATACCACTACTTGTGCTATAAATGTTGCTGGCACCTCCAAGACACTTAAAAAAATTGATTAGTGCCACACTRGACTGCTGAGTCATCAATGACCGTCCTTCCACTAGGACAAGGGGATGTCTTGTAAGCAGGTTATTTATATTCTTARTATCTTCAGCAGAAAGTACAGTCTAGTTAGGTTTGGTAGCCATTAAATGGCAATTTTTTGTATGTGCTGCCCTCATCCATAGATTTCTTATCAGAGCAACTTCGGCCTTAAGTAGGAGCAATTACAAATAGCCCAACTTCTTTTAGAYTGGAAGAAGAAAGGAGTATTGAATCATGCACACTGCAAAGGTTTGTTTTGGACAGAAGCAAGACCAAGCCTCCATATTAAAGCTCTGCGTATTCAGTATCACTAATTTATCCAGCTTGAAAGCAACAGAAAACCAGAATTAAAAGGATTTTTTTTTTTTTTAATAAAATGTGCAGGTGGTCTTAAACTTGCCAAGGTATTTTTCAAAGCTAAACAGGCCTTGCTTCCTCTTCAGGATCTCTTTTAATTTCACAACCTAATAATCATGATCATCCATCAAGAACACAATATGAAACTACTTTTTATCCTTTCTGTGTATTTTGAGAAAGACTGGAACACATTTACCCCAATGTATTGTGTGCTCTTAGATCTTATTCTGTACTGTCATGTCTGCAAATATTTACAAAGCAAAAAATACTGTCTGACTCAGCAATGCAACTCACACGTCTTTCATGCTGTTCCATATCACTGCTTCAGACCAAAACAACACAAAAACACCACTGCGAATCATAAAAGACAGAAATACTATTAGTGGCCTAMAGCCAACTATGGTCTAAACAGTTTGCTTATGAGCTCACCACATGCATGCAACATTTGGACTATCGCTCACAAGCTTTGGCTGCACAAATACAGACCTTTAGTCAAGGAACTGAAGCAACAGTTTCATTGGAGTAAAATCAGGGGATCACCAACTGCTCTGCTTTGATGTAACCCCATGACCAGCTTCACTGGCCACACCAGAGTATATGGTCCTTTGCGGAGAAAATGCAACAAGATTCCCAAGCACAAGAAGAGAGTACAGCTGCAGCATGCTAGGGGTCTGCACGTGGTCTTCATTGGAGTTTGTCACCTCCTCAATATGTTGATAACATCCGCTAAAGAATTCCAGAAGTGTCTGACTTCAGCATGGGCACATTTCACTGCAGGCTGCAGGACTCACTAGCACACAGGCCAGCGAAGATGAAAGGCAGGATGTWGTCACATACAGATCTGCCACTTTCCAACAGCCCCACTGGTACCCACCAAGATCAACCACAAGTAACATCAGATAATCTTAAAGGTAAAAAGCTTAATCACAACGTTAAGTGATCACAACTAGGAAGAGGGCAATTAACTAATCATTTCAGAGGCTTGTTCTCTTCATCACTCCAAGAAGCAGTTTCATCACAGGAAGTCTTCTGCTGAGTAAAACACCCATCACACTGCCATTAAGATGAAAACTTTATTTATATTAGAAGTTAATTATTTMTTTACTGACCATACAGAGAAGATCAGTAATATACATTTTAATGTTTTAAGTAGCCAGGTTTTCAATGGAAAGGCTTGTCTGAAGTTTCAATTAAACAGAAGCTTGCTTAGCTTAGTTCAGAGATGGTCTAAGTTCTTCCATGAAGTTTAAGATGGTGGGCTAACAAATCAAGACGTTCAATGTAATACAGAATAATTTTAAAGAATGAAACAGAAATAAATATATTTACTTTTATTACAAACATATGCTTTTCTTTTAAATGAGATTAAGTTTAACTGCTGTATCAGAAAGAACTGCARTTCTGTCCTGTTTCCTGACTTAATRTTTCAGTTCCAAGAAAAAAATTGTCCACCTTCTCAAAGTCTTCTTTGAGTGACTAGGAAAGGCATACAAAAGATTATTAAGGTCAATARTAGCTCCAAACTTTAAACAAAAACATCTTCCTAAATCAATTGTATACCCATTACATGTATTGCATACATGCCGGAAAATAAACATTGGTAAATACAGTCTTGGAAATGGCTCAAGTGACTGGTTTTTTGAAAACGGTTTATAAAATATATAAATTCAGTCAACTGAAAGATGTTGAACTCGAAGACTAATGTTAACTCTTCATTTTCAAGGAGAACATCTTGCATTTCGCCTTGTAAGAAGGTACACGGCAACGTGCAAATGTAGGTTTTCCCACGTGAGGCTGGAACAYGACAGGCCGCTCCAGGGCCAGAGGCTCATCACTTTTCCCAAACTGAAAGTCGTAGATTCTAGAAGTGAATTTCAGCAGCGCTACTTTAATGCACTCTCCTCATTCATTCGCCGTGGGGCCCCGGCACTCGGCCACGTTCACTCGAGGCACCTTGCACACTGCAGACCCTGGGCAGCACCTCCACAGTCCCGGACATCCTCTGCCGGCAGCTCCCGGAGGGAGCCGCACCGGAGCTCAGACGGCTGGAAACACACTTCTTACGGTGCGGGCGGTGTCGGAGAGCTCGCTGCCGCCCTGCTTGGTGGTAACCTACCCCGGCCATCACACGGGACGAGGCCAATCGTGGTGGGGCACTGCACAGCAGAACCGAGGGAACAGCGAGCCCTGAGCTCAGCTCTCCGGTCGAGTAAGTCCCCTAGGCAGGAGAGCAGCACCCCGACAGCCCTCACAGAGGCCAAAGGCGGTGAGGATGTGTCAGGACCGGGAGACGAGTCCCGCTCCCGCCAAGGAGCCCTGGGGCGATGGCGGCGCCCCCCACACGCCGCYCCTGAGAGCTCGGCCGCGGCGCCGGTGTGGCCGGAGCCGGCATAAAGCAGCCGCTCGCCCCGCTCTGCCCCGCCGCCGGCACCTCACAGGCACACGGGGGACACGGGCCCGCCGGTGCCGAGSGACGCCCGGCGGGGCCAGCCTGGGCAGCCGGGACCGAGCACTCCGCCTTGTCGGYGGCGAGGTGCCCCCCGCAGCCCGGAGGGAACAATGGGGGTACCGCCCGGGAGACCTCCTCGAAGTTGCCCCGACAAGTTTGGGACTGCCCGGAGGTGCAGCCGCCGGGCACAATCGCCCCGTCCGTCCACACCTCCCTCCTGCCACCGGGCCACACGCTCCCRGACCGGCCTCTGGGACCGAAACGCGGAGACCGACCCCCACACCCTGGCTGACCCCCGCCGGGACGAGACCCCACCCGGACCCACCGCTGTCGTCCTGTGAAGACGGGGCCCTCGCTCCCGGGACACGAGAACGGCAGCCCCGAGGCGCACTCAGGCTTCCCCCACAAAAGCAGCCCTTGGAAATAAATAAAAGAGCAGGACACTTACCATCTCGCCTGATRTTGGAAGCCCGCAGGGCTTTTATAGATCCGCTCTGGGCAGGGGCGGTGGTGCCCTGACGGCTGCAGAAGTTCGCACASACGACGGCGTAGAGCAGGAGGAGGATGAGCAGTTGCATTGGGACAGCTGCGAGCGGGACCGTGTCTCTGCGAAGAAACGGGCTCTCCCGCCGAGGGTGCTTCCCTCGCTCCTCTCCTCTTTCCCCTTACGGGACTTTTTGGTTGTTGCGGGTTGCTTGTGTGTTTGGAGGAATTGTATGCAGGGGGCAAAAAAAGGCACAATCCCCGCAAAGAAACAAAAAGCAAAACCCCAGAGCACGCGAAGCAGCGGCCACCGCCGCCGCGTTACTCTCCGAGCTGCCTCCAAACTTCCTGCATGCTGAACTTTCGGCTGCCCTTCTGGGCCGGCCAAACTCGGCAGAGGTGCGGATTGCCCGGGCCGGGACCGCCGCCCACTCCCCTCATGCAGCACGGCCGTGCCCCAGTGGCGGGCGGGGGCTGCCGCAGCCGCGCTCCCCCGCGGCCGCCGCC